TTTAAGTACAAACTCATTTGCAAAACATTATAGGAGATGACAGATATTACACGTAACATCATGTCACATAACAGCAAAATGCTGAGGACAACAGGATGATTCTACAAAAAAGCATTCAAGGAAATGGAACTAAACCTGATCATCTCAAGAATACTAGAAGGCGAATAAAATCAAAATGGAAAAGATGTACCAGAGTGTCTATGGCAATCTATTTTTACCATTAATAAGTGTGGAACTACCAACAGTACATTAACACCTCAGTGCCAGAAATTATACTTAAGAAAAGGTTATCAAAAAAAAGAGCTGGACTCAACCAAATCCTCACAAAGGAAATCCATCTTGGAGGCAACACAATTTTCAAGATACCCAGAGATAAATTTTCAAGATGCTTTATGAGAAGAGCCTGAGCATATCTGACTGGAACCTTTAGTGAAATGGAAGAAATACAAGCAGCCCCTTAAAAACAATTCCCTAAGGCAGACCACATCTTCACATGCACATAATTCACTGAGAGGTACAGAAAAGATTTCCTGTGTTGGTCTGTCCACCCACCCACCAAAATGTGATTGGTTGGGAACAAAATCTTCACCCTTCCAGAAAGGTTTCTTCCATGCTTCGGGACAGCATTTTATACTGGAGAGAAAAGTGGATTGGGTATCTAAGGAACTAGGTTTGAATTCTGGCTTTGCTTCTTACTATATACGTGACCTCAAGATGAGTCATTTCATCCCAGTATGCCTCACTTTAAAGTGTTTAGATGATCTAATCACTAAGGGACTTTCCAACTATACATCCTACAACTACATTTTGAAATCTTATAGGACTTCTTGACAAATACAACTCCACAAAGATAACTTTATTCCTGATTGAGGAATAAAACTGGGAGACAAACATTCACTACTGCCACGAAGAATGTCCTGGGCACAGTCCAAACAGAAGAGTCGTTGTCTACCGATGTCGAAGTCCTCCAGATGGTCCAGTTTGTAGATGATACTTTGCTGTCTTCATTGAACCCTGGGATACATCAATGCCTCCTCAATGAGATCCATGGCTACCCAAAAGAAACTGACCTAGTCATCTATATAAGAAGAACCCAAATGAAGGAAGTGTGTGTGCATGTGTGTGTGTGTGTGCGCGCACGCGCTCGTACGCATTTATTATCTTGGAAAGCACTGCAAATGGACAATAAGACTGACCCAAAACTGAGTACGAGGAGGAGGCAGCCTGAAACACCTTCAGTAGACTACATAGTACTTTCAACAATTGGTGACTCCACCAATGCCTATCTTTTTATCACTAAGATTCTCCCAGTGATGCTATCTATACAGCAGCAATCCATGGACCAACCCAATTTCTGAAGAATCAAAATTATAGGTGAACAAATGGGAAATGTAAAGCTGCATGGTATAAGCAGGCTGCAATATATTTCCAATCTCTTATTCCAAGATGTGTCCTTGTCTACCCAGCTCTTAGCAGAGTACAGGTACTTGATAAACATTTGTTGATTGATGCATCATAAAAGACATCATCCATGATATGCATGACTTAAAAAGGAGGTAGACTGGGCAGGTAGCAAGATATAGGCAGAAAAGTCCCAGTGTTGCACTAATATCCAGGCAATATTAGAAGACCTAGAAGAAATCCACCAGCATATCAAGTAGATTCTTTATGAATGTTTAGGGAAGGACACGAATAAAAATCTCACAGGATGAGAAGACACAAACAGCTTGCTGTCTTTACCAGTGAAGTAACTTGGCTTTACTAACAGCTCTATGAGAAATAACTCCTAATAGCTAAAGGGCTTAAGGAAAATAAGTGGTTTTGTACCAAAAACGTGAGATTAAGTCTTCTCTGTCATTCTTACAACCAAGAAATATTTGAAAGAATTAATTTTTAAAGACACAGGAAAGCTTATACCTTCAATGTTTACAAATGAGTGGCCATTACTTTAAAAGGTAAGGGGAAGTAGGTCATTCTTTTTCAAACCTTGCTTCCCTGGCTTCCTTATGTCTCAGCTAAAATCCCACACTCTGCAAGAAGCCTTTCCCAGTCCTCCTTAATCTTAGTGCCTTCTATCTAGGACAACCCCCAATGACATAGTTCGCATGTGGTCTTCCATCTTGGGGGACACTGTTTGTGCCTTTCTTTGTATCCTCTGGGCTTACCACAGTGACTGGCACATCACAAGCATTTAATGCATGCTCATTGCTAACTTTTCGACCTGACTATAAGAAAGCTAATTTACTAAAGGTTTTCTACTGTCCCAGGAGAATTATCACAGCCCTAAGAGTAATCTAAACCTAGTGTGACCTGAAACTTTTCAATGTCTTCAGATCTGTGATTTCAGTGATGAAGGTACGCCTTTCACCAATGCAGATCACAAACCTTTCATGTTTTAGTAGATAAGTGTTGCTGGGCCACAAAATTCACTCTATGGTGGCCAACCTTGTGAGAACGAGCCTTTCTGAACTTAGGTTGGTCCTCAGCTGACAAGTCTGACAAGAACCATACTCAAAGCTTTCCAGTTCAGTTAGTGTTTCTGCAGACACGACCTTCAAGAAACCAGGGTCACCTCTACACAGTAATGGAAAAGGCCCACAAAATTGGAGGAGGACTTTGGTAGAGGATAATACCTGATTGGTAAAGTCACGTTATTAAGATAATTCTCCTGGATCAACCTTTCATAATAAAGTGATGAGATATCTGATTTCATTGAATAATTGTCATTCTACAGGGATTATGGACTGATTGTTGCTATAAAACTATAGTAAAAAAAAGAAAGAAAAATTTAGTATTTCAGCTTGTCAGTTTAATCTATTCAATTTGTAAATTGGTTATTCAGCTGTAGGTACACTTTAAATTGCGCAAATATATATTAAAAGTTGAAAATGAATAAAATTTTAAAAAAATTAATGCAAATTAGCTACCATTATATTTTGAGGACATATTGACTATGATATATTTATACAAAATATGCCATAAACTGAAGTTATTCAACAGCATGCAAAAACAGTTTTGGAAAAAGGTAAAGAAATGATTTGGGGAATAAAAAGTCCAAATTTAGGGGGGAATTTTATTTTTTAAACTAAAGTTTTAATATGGTAATTGTCCAGGTCAAGAGGACAAGAAATGAAGTGCTATCTTCCTTTTATGCTTTCAAGAAAAAAAAGTTCCGGGGCAGCTAGGTGGCGCACTGGATAGAGCATCGGCCCTGAAGTCAGGAGGACCTGAGTTCAAAGTCGGCCTCAGACCAAACACTTGACACTAGCTATGTGACCCTGGGCAAGTCACTTAACCCCAATTGCCTAAAATTTTTTTTAAAAAAAGACAAAAACAAAAAAAGTTCCCTGACCAAACATTATGTTGAATTACCAAATGTGTCAGTATGTGCCATGGCCACAATTAAATGAAGTTACTAACATCCATCAAAACTAGAAAATTATTAAATGAGAAATACATGAAAAATTTCCAAATTAGTAATTTACTTAACACTATTGTTATTCTCATTCAAGTCTGTAGTAGTACTTGTGACAGATAAAGTGATAAATTTGAGAGGTAGCACAGTGTGATGGATAGCCACCTAGGTTTTGGCAACAAGAAAACTTAGATTCCAGCCCTACCTCTGGCAGAGAGTGGACTGTGTGATCCTGGCCAAGGCTCTCAACCTCTCAATGCCCCTGGAAACTGAGAGTATCAACTGCAGAGAAGGTACAGAACTGCATTCACAGAGGGAATTTCTCATCAGGAAATTCCTCTACCAAGAAAAAAAGTCCTAAGTCTAGACTCCCCAAAAAGGCAACAAATTATACTTCTTTGTTTTGTTCTTAAGACTAAGAGTTTTTTTCTTAATATCCACTTGTGCTAATAGTTCCTAATGAGTACAGGAAGCTTTAGTGAAGCTATTAGGTTGGAACTCTTCAGCAGAATGAGTATCTAAAATGCTACATTTTAATCTATTCAGCCTCAGGACACTAAACTGGTCACAAATGTTAGTACTATACTTATGGAGGATGGACTATTTCCATATACAGTATATTACATAGAATTTCTTTCAAGTTCTACATAGAGTCTTCTAAAAGAAGTATACAACATATCACAATGTCTTGCTGACAATGAATATGTTTGAACTGAATCTATCCTACCACTAAACAAGTAATTCTTTAATATCATGAAAAATACCTAAAGACAAATAGCTATCTTTCTTCAAGGAATAAAAGACTGAGGCAGGAAGGATGAACCTTAGTCAATAATCAGTGTCAAAATAAACACTAGATATTGGCTGCCTCCATACACCAAACACATACATCCCTGAAAAGATGCCTGTGGAGCCAAATTCAACATATGGGAAACCTGATCTCCCAAATACTGTTCACAACCCTCTACTTCCTGGTCTCTACCCTAAAAATTCATACTCCCTTAAGCTGGGGCCAAAAAGCTCTCCTTTTTCATGGCTCTGTTGTACTCCTTCCTTACAAATATCTGCAGTCAAACCTCTTATTCCAGGGTTTATTTCCCTAATGTTATCTTCTCTTGGCTTTTACCTTTTATTCTTCTGTGGCATTAATTACCTGCCAAACTAGCCCTCCCAATACTGATGCAAGTTGGTAGCAAGGAGCCAGTGACAGCAGGAAACATTAGTCTGAGTAGGGAAATGCTCTTCTCTACAGTGCAAAATTGGACTCTTTCAAAAACAAACACACACTTAAGCTAAGAAGAAGCAAGGCATAGGCAAAATATGGATTTGCGTGTGGTATTCTGGGAAGATAAAGGTTATAAATTACCCAAAACAGTTTGAAACTCTGTGTTAGACCATGTAAAACCATATACTGTCTCAATTCCTACTCCAAATCACATCATACTGAAAATCTTGTTAATCCAAATTTAACTTAACAGGTAGTACATCTACTTTTATAAGTAACATAATGGCCAAATTTCATCCACTGCAGCCTCTTAGAAACTCTTTCAAAGAAGCCACCACCACATTAGCCCTCACTACGTACTTTGGCTTTGTCGGCTTGCTTTTTCAGTTCTTCCATCTCCTTCAGTAAATCACTGTTCTTCCTCTGGGCTTCTTTCAGGGTTCCCTCAGTATCCTGCAGAGCTTTCTTCAGACTGAGCACAGCTGCTTCGTGTTCTATGACTTTCTCAGAATTGGCTTTTTCATGCCTTGCCTGGAGGTCCTGGCATTCGCTATGGCTTACCTCAATTTGCCTTTCCTGCAAGAACCCAGAATGTTGGAGTTCAGGCCACTAAGCCACACATGAGATAAGAGCACCGTCTGCCCCCCACTCCCCCACCAGCAAATGCTCCCACTTGTTCTCCTCTTACCAGATCTAATACTTTGTTCTGTAATTCCCTCTTTTCTTCCTCATGCCTTGCAATTACATTCTGCTGATCCTGCTCAGCTTTCAGAGTTGCCTCCCCAATACTTTTCTGCAGAAAAGCGGCTTCATCATTTGCCTTTGAAAGCCGTAGCTGTAATTCTTCCACAAATCTAGAAAAAATTGTCAGACTTTTGATAAGGATTCAGGAGCTAACCCTAACACCATCCACAACTTCTAAATATTAGGTGTGGAAAAGTTGTACCATACAAACATGCTGCAGTTCAACATGAGTAGCTAATGATTTCATTAGTGGAAATGATATTAAAGAAGAGGCAGCTGCACCATGGACCTCTTCCCCACAACAGATAACGAAGCTCTCCCTTTGGGTTGTCTTCCCTACTCAAATGGGAGCTGCTGGAGAGCAGGGGCTGTCTGACTTTTCTGTTTGAATCCCTAGCTGCTAACACAGTGCAAAAAGTAAGTGATTAATAAATGCTTTATTCATCCACGCATCCACTGACAAGGAAAAAAACAAAAAAGCATCAAGTTTCAAAAACTTCTTTGCACAAATATATTTTACCTTTTGTTAAATCAACTCCAAAGGATTCTACAAATAACAATGAAAAATCTTGCTTTTCCACAAAAGTATCAAACAGTAATATTCCCATTTCACAGATTTTTAAAAAAGAGAAAAAAATTCATCTTTCTTATAATGTAAAGGCCACACTGTAAAGACAGTGACAGGTGCCCACCATAAGAAGGATGTTGAACTTCTAATATACCTGGAGATGTCTGCTTATCTAATCATTATTTTAAGACATATGAAGCAAGTATTATAAAAAACACAAATAATGTGAGACTCAACATACTTATCTTTCAGCCTAAGTTCTTCATTCATTCTTGTCAACTGGGAAGAATTATCTCCCGACATCTTCATGACTTCCACAATTTCACTTTCTAGTTTTTCCTTTGCTTCTACTAACTGCTGTTCTCTTTCATCCTTCTCTTTAAATTTCTTTTCCATATCTGAATATAATAATAATAGTAATAACAGCAACTACAACAAGAATGAAAAACTTTCAAAACGTGTAGAAAGCTAGCGGGAGAAATCAAAAGCACGTGGGAATAAAACAATGTCCACTTCATAGCTGTTTTCATGTTTGCAGGTGGAGTTTTCTGAAAGACACTCTCCTTAAGTCTATGAAAGATGAGTTTATGACCATCCTTTCTAATCTCCACCTTCTGGATTTTACAAGAGGCCTCAGCCAATTCTCACCACCGCCCACCCCCTGTATTTACCTCTGAGAATAGCTCCCATTCACATTGAGCATATTTAAATGTACACACTTGTTTGCACATTTTCTTTCCTATTAAAATGGGAGCTCCCTGAGGACAGAGATGGAGTTTTTGCCTTTCTTTGTATCCCCAGTGCTTACTTAGCATAGTGCCTGACACACAGTAGTAACTGCCTAAAAAATGCTTGGTGACTGACTGACGTAATACTCTACAATTACAAAAAGCAGCCATTTTATCCACCTCTGCAAAACATAAATTTAAGAGCACAACAGTGACTTGTTCTTGGACTATTTCTAAATGAACTTCATCCAACAAAAAAAAAAGATAAGGATAATAACAATAACAATTCAAGTTCCCATAGCACTCTGGAGGTGTACAAAACATCTCACAACCACCCAACCACAGTTGGAGAGGTAGTAAAATATAGAATTTATAGCCCAAAGGGACCTTAGAGATCATCTAATATAACCCATTTATTTTACATATTTAATGGAAAGGTTATTCAATTCCCCTCAAATGATGCAGATGGTAAGTAACATCATTGTTCTATAAATCAAACTCCAAATGAATAGCCCTTTCTACTACTACATCATGCTGTACCCTCATCATGATCAGTATTTGAAAGAGAAGGAGGCAGTGAGGAAGGCTCAGAGAAGAATGGGGACTAGCCCAAGCGCACAACAGAAAGTGTCAGAGATAGGACTCAAACCCGGGTCCTCTGACTCTACCGTATGAATCTGTGTGTGCATTTTTTGGGTTGTTTTTCAGTCCTGTCCAATTCTTTGTGACCCCAATTGGGGTTTTCTTGGCAAAGATACTGGAGTGCTTTCCCATTTCCTTCTCTAGCTTCTTTTACAGATGAGGAAACTGAGGCAAATTGGGTGAAGAGACTTGCTCAGGATCATACAGCTATTAAGACTGAACTCAGGAAGATGAGTCTTCCTGACTTCAGGCCCAGCGCTCTATCCATTGTGCCTACCTACCACAGTGTGTCCAGGCAGGCACACATTTCGATATAATCTATGTGTAATTGTATTGATGTAGGAATTCTTTTTCGCTCACATGGACCACAAGCGACAACCACAGGCAGCCAATATTAGAGGCCTCTCACATGCCTTAGCCACTACACTACTGAGAAAACAGAGGGCCTCCTCTAAGACAGCCCCTGATGGGCAGAGGCATGACCCCACACTGTTCTACTTCCATGATTCAAAACCAGGAAATTCCTCTCTGACAACAATCCCTATCCTTAAATTGCTCCCTCTGCTCAATCTTTCTAACCCTACTCGGTATCTTCATCACGACCTTCTGTCCTCTATGGTCCAGCTACCTAAGATTCAACCCTTGGATTCCTTTCCTGTCATGCCAATTCTGCACTGCTGAGGCAGAGTGAAGATGGCAGAATAAAAGCAAGCATCAGGGCCCAGGTCTCTCCTCAGCAGAGCTCTATGTCATGCATCAGACTGAATTCTGATTGGAAAATTCAAGAAGTCAGCAAGTCCAGGGAAGCTTAGGGAGATAAGACTCCAAAAAGAGGGTCTGGGTAACAGAGTATGGCCACAGCCATCCCAGAAAGCATTGTAGCACCCAGAGAGTGAAAGAGAGCCAAAATATAACACCAGGAAGAGATCCCAGGGAATCTCTGAGCAAGCAATGAGTATAAGAACAGGTGCCATCTAACAGTTCTGTCACCTACACACTCAGTAGGGAGTCAGATCCAGGGTGGAAAGGAAGAATTGGAAGGAACCCAGAAGTAACTGGCAATTTCATCGTTCTGAACCTACAGAACCTCCCAGTCAGCCAAAAGTGGTTGAATCAAGTAGCAATATGCTGAAACTCCCAACCAAAAACAAGCCAATAGGTCCAAACCTGGATCAGAAACTTGCAGAATTCAGACCCAGAGGGCACTAAACAGACGTTGTCCTGAGAAGCACCGAAAGCTTACTGACTTCTAGCGAGAGGTGTGAAAGCAACAGAAGGACAAAGGACAGAAGTTCAGGCCAGACATCCTTCCCTCTCCCCCCACAACTGTGCAGAGCCTTAATATAAAGTCTGGAGTCAAGAAGTAGGCTGGAAGAATGAGCAAACAAAAAAAGCTCCCAACCATAAAGAGCTATTAGGACAGGGAAGCTCAAGACACAAACACAGAAGAGAATGACTCAAAAACATCTACAAGCAAAGCCACAAAGAAAAATGCTGCTTGGATATAAGTCCAACAAGAATTCCTGGAACAGTTAAGGCAAGAGTTAAAGGAAGAAGGAAAAATTTCTCATTTATTTATTTAGTTATTTAGTTAGTTAGTTTTTAGGCAATTGGAGTTAAGTGACTTGCCCAGGGTCACACAGCTAGTAAGTGTCAAGTGTTTAGTATAAGGCCGGATTTGAGCTCAGGTCCTCCTGACTTCAGGACTGGCGTTCTATCCACTGCACCACATAGCTGCCCCCCAAAAAAATTTTTTTAAAGCAAACAAGAGCAGTAGAGGAAAGAATGAAAAAAGAGGCAAGAGTCAGGGACCAAAGATATGAAAAGAGAATTAAGAACCTGGAGAAAAAGGTACAAAATCTTACTGGAAAAAATAAGTCCCTGAAAATTAGGACTGGCCAAATGGAAGTTAATGACTCCATGAGACATCAAGAAATAATGAAAAATTCTGGACTGCTCCCACCAATCCACTTTCTGCACTTCTAGTTATCTGTTCTGGAATGCTGGAAAATATTAGACAACCCACAGATTTATGTTAAATAATCTGAAATGGGCCATCAATGCTGCACAGCAATCCTTTTAGTCTTTTCTGATTAGCTTTCTATCACATCTCTACAAAGCAGCTATTACCAGACTTTGCCTTTCTCCTCAAATATGCTACATTACCTTCTCCCTATCCCTCACAAGAAAAAGCCTTACTTTACTGACAAAACAAGTCATCTCTCATGGGCTCCTTCTTCCTGTTCCCACCCCATACACACATCTCAAAACTCTTCTTTATTGACTCCTATTAGAATGTGAACTCTCTTGAGAGTGGGAACTGTTTTACTTTTCTATTTGTATCTCTAGTATCACAATGCTGTGCACATATAAAAAATGCACTCACTGATTCTCTTCTCCTATAAAGAAGTTGCAAAACTAGCTCCTGTTGATCTAATTCCCTCCCTTTTCTTCCATGAACATGCTCCATGGATAATTTCCCCCTTTCTCCCCTTCTATCTTTCCATAAAAATTGGCTCCTTCCTTTCAATCAGTCTCAAGTCTCCCTTGACCCTTAAAGAATTTTCACTTCAATATCATCTCCTCAAACTGTTGTCCTCTATCTCTCTTCTTTTCACAGTCAAACTCCTAGAAAGTATTATCTATATACCTGGCCAGCCTTTCAAGACATCAATCTATTGACTGCTATACCCAGTGGTCTTTTCCAAATTCTATTCTTTTGAATTCTCTGAAGCTTGTGGTACTGCTGACCACTCTCTCTTCAGGGTACTTTGCTGGATTCTGTGATGCTGCTTATCTCTTGGTTTTCCTCCTACCTGCCTGAGGATTCCTTCTGTCTCCTTTACTGGATAACTATCCTCAGATCAAGTGAGTGCAGTGATCCTCTAACGACTCTTTCCTGAGCCCTTTTCTGACCATGATATTCCTTCATCAGCTCCCAAACATTCAACTATAATCAGACAACTCTCAGATACAGAGACCCAAGCCTAATTTCCCTCTTCAACTCCATTCCCACATAACCAACTGCTGAACATATACATCCACCTGGATGTCTGAGGCATCTCAAACTAAACGTGTCCAAAATGTGTTTCATATTCCCTCACAAGACTGTCTCTTCTCCAAATTCTCCCATTTCTGTGGAGGGCATCGTCTAGGTTCATAACCGTTGTTATCACCTTTGATTCTTCTTCCCTCTGCCAATTACCTGCCACATCTATCTCATTCTACTTTTTGATCTCCTTTGCTGGATCTTCATCCAGATCACATCTATTAACCATGGGTGTCCAACAGGTATCTCCTCTCCTCTTCTTCCTCTACACTATTTCATTGAGTGATCTCATCAGCCCCATGATTTCAATAATAATCTCTATGTAGATGATTCTCAGATCTACTTACCCATCCCTAACCTCTTTCCTAATCTCCAGATCTGCATCTCCAAGGGCCTAATAGAAATCTCAAACTGGATGACCAATAGACATCTTAAACTCAACACGTCCAAAATTGAACTCATTATCTTTCCCACTATATTTTCTCCTTTCCTAACTTCTCTGCTACTGTCAAGAACAGCACCACTGTCCAAATCACCCATAGGCTCACAACCTAGGTGTCATCCTCTTTACTCTCCTCTCTCCCCATATGCAACTTATTGCCAAGTCTAATTTTACCTTTATGACTTCTCTCAAAAATGCCTCCTTCTCTCCTCTGACTTAGCCACCACTCTGGTGAAGGCCCTTTTCACCTCACATCTGAACTACTGCCCTAGCTGCTGGTGGGTCTACCTCCCTCAAGTCTCTCCCAACTCCAGTCCATCACCCACTCAGCTATCTAACTGATGTTCCTAAATTTTAAGGCTGACCGTGTTAACCTTCCTTATTCAATAAACTTTTATCTATTCCTTATCACCTGAAGGATTCGATATAAAATTCTGTTTGGCACTTTAAAGTCCTTCACAAGCTGGTTCTCTCCTACCTTTCCAATTTTCTTACACATTAATCTTCCCCATGTACTCTGAGATCCAGTGACACTGGCCTCCTTCATGTTCCTCATGCAAAGAACTGTATGTCCACATTCCAGGCACTGTCACACTCATCCCCTATGTCTAGAGTGCTCTCCCTTCTCCTCTCCACTTCCTGAATTCTTTCAAGTCCAAGCTAAAATCCCACCTTCTACAGGAAGCTTTTCTCAATCCTCCTTAGTGCTAGTGCCTTCCACCAACTAATAGAGAATCTTCAATTTCCACTGTCAATATCTTGTTTGTCTCCCCCGTTAGACCGTCTGCTCCTAGATAGCAGCAACTGTCTTTTACCTTTCTTTGTATCCTTTGGCACATAAGTAATCGACAGCTGCTTCTTGACTGAGAACCATCATCTCTCATAGCTGGTCCCTTTTTTCTTCTTTACATTCCTTTTAAAATGTTCAAAGTTCTCAATGCCTCACAGACTGCTAGAGCCAACTGATGGCTCTTCACATTTAGTATATTTCCCTCTCCAACTTATCCTGATATTCCCAACACATAGATTGGACCATGTCATTCCCCACCTCAAAAATTTTCTACACCTCTTTATTTGCTGTAGGAAAAATAAAATATGTAATCCTTAGCCTGGCTTTGAAAGCTCTTCTCCACCAGTCACTCCAATCTTCTTTCATAAAATTCTCCTTTACCCACTCCATATTCCAGTTAAACTGTTGGCTGTTCCCTCAGACGACACTGATCTCCTACCTCAATGCCTATGCACAGGGAGTCAGCCAGCTCTAGAATGCATGTCTTCCACATATCCCACTCTCAGAATCCATGGCTTCTTTCAAAGCACAACCTGAGCCGTTTGCTGAGAGCCATTCCTACTCTCCTGTTAAACTGTTACCACTCTCTTTCTCTTAAAATTACTTTCATTTTGTACATCGCTGTATATATTCTATACCCCAACAGAATGTAAGTTCCTTGAGGAGAGAGAATGCATTCATTGTTTTCTTTTTATCCACAAATGATAAGAGTGCCTTGTGCCTATTAGGTGCCAGATATTTGTTGAATTAAATTGATCCTTGGTAGATTATCTTTGAGAGATATTGTGCAAGAAAATAACATCACAATGGAGCCAATCTGTTCACGAGTTTCTCTAAACTTAGCTGGATTAGTCCTCAGATGACAGTGACATAGTCCATCCCTAGAACGCTCTATGAAATCTGACAGTATTTGCACTGCTTGGAAAACCAGTGTCAGCTACATGACACAATGAGGCACCAAACTATAAAAATATCTACATGCACAGAGAATTCCTCTATGCCACCAAGAAGGCTCTACTTGCACGTAGCTACGTATTAAAAGGAGGGAAGGAAACAAGCAGGTATTAGCATTTACTGTGTGCCAGGCACTGTACTAGGCAGGACCTCGTATTATGAACCCCATTTTACAGTTGAGGAAACTGAGACAGAGGTTACATGACTTGCCCGGGGTCATACAGCTGGAATTTGAATTCTGGTCCTTCTGAGTCAAGGCCCAGTGCTCTGTGTCCTGTGGCACCAAGAGATGCCACAGGAAAGACCATGTAGTAAGTCAGGTTTGTAACCCTGCTCAGCAAAATCCAGTGTTCAATGCTCTGTTCTGTTTAGTCTAAAACAGTAAACAATAATGGTTTCTTACCTGACAAGTTACATTTCAGTTTCTTCAGATCAGAAGACAGAGCACTAAACTGTTCTTCTTTTTGGTGTAGTTTATTTAGCGTTTCTATTTAGGAAAGAGATTCCCTTCAGATTTATGGCTCACCTTGTCTCATAAATGTCACTCAAAAGGGAATCTTCAAAAAGAAACCCTGGCATCAAGATTTGCAAATAAAACCATGAGAGAACAGATGCAGAAACAGACTGAAAAGGCCAACCGGCCATAAACAAAACGTCGGCCTCCAGGATCGAATACAAAACGCTCTGGCTGGCATGCAGACACCTTCCTGGCCTACCCGCCCTCTGGCCTGCCTGGTCTTCTTACACTTTGCTCGCCACCATGTACACAGGCTTCCCGCCTGTTCCTCGCTCTACCTCCCGCCTCCAAGCATTTTCATCAGCTGCCTCCAGTCACAGGCACAGGCCTGGAATGTTCTTCCTCATCTCTACCTTCTACCTTCCCTGGTTTCCCCTTCGAGGGTTGGCCAAAATCCCACCCTCTGCAAGAAGCCTGTTTTGGTCCTCCTTAATCTTAGCATCTTACTTCCGAGACTACCCCCCACCAATCCTTCGATCTATACCTTATCTATAACCTGTACCTGTACTGCATATAACCTATAAGCTATACTACATCTACACCTACAACTATGCTGTAGGTAGCTGTCTCCAAGTTGTCTTCCCCATTAGACTGTGAGCTCATCGAGGGCAGGACTGTTTGTTTTTTACCTTTCTTTGTAGCCCTAGTACTTAGCACAGTGCTTGGCACATAGTAGGTGCTTAATAAAGCTAGCTGACTGACTGACTAGGAAGTGCAAAGGCCACCCTACCATCCTCCCTTGGTCTCTTCTCCCTGTCATGGAGCAGAAGCTCCTTTCCCTACATCAAAAAATTTTCTTAGGGAAGGATCTGGAACTTTTTTAGGCTAAAAATTACTGGTAATGCTTGATTAAGGTCTGATTTTCCCCCCAAGGTTATCTGCATTTTAATAAAGGATCACAGAATATTAGAGCTGTAGGGGCTCTTAAATACCATCTAATCCAAAACTCTTAATTTTACAGATATGACAACTGAGGAGCAAAAAGAGAAAGGTCTTATTGCCAGTTGAATAATTAAGGGGGGCAAAAGAACTTAGGACTTGTACTATATAATACCTGAAAGCAAAGGAATATTTCAGGAAACAGCAAGCCAAAACAAGTATGTTTTTGTGGGATGGGTGTTTATGATTGTATGTTTAGGCCTTCCCACTTCCTAAAGTCTCAATAACTAAGACTTCAATATCAGCCTTAGTTGCAGTATTTATATTGTCTCTGAGGTTATTATTTTGCTCACATGTTAGGAAAACATACCTTGCATTTTTTGTTGAATATCCACTGATTCCTCTGAAGCATCCGCAAACTTTTTTTTCTTAAATAAAAAAGCAGAAAAAGAAAGAACTGAATATTTAAAATAAAGAACAGATTTAAAATAAACAAACTTGATTTCTCCTTCCAATGTAATCTAATTAAAGCAACATTTTAGTTGCAAATTTTGCAACTCTGATTTCCTGAATGTAAGAACAGACTGTTACTGCCATTACAAATGACCAGCTCTTTCAAGCCTATATACAGACGACACAACATTTCGCACAGTGCCTGGCACTGAGTAGCTGCCTATTAAACGCGTGTTAAGACTTGGGGCGTTTTGTACCACATGATCAGTCCACCTTGTTGGGTCATGCAAATAAAAAGGTAAAGGTCCTAGTGCACATGAGGGTACTGAGAGAAAGACTGACTGGCTATGATCTTATCCTCCTCCTCCTTATATAGCAGTTCTTCTCAAATCAGAGAGATCGTGGGGCCTGAGAACTTGCTAAAGCAAATGCTTTGTGATTTTTTATATATGGCATTTCCTAAAGCCAGGACATTCTTTTCTAAAATAAAGGTTTTTGGGGCAGCTAGGTGGCGCAATGGATAGAGTACCAGCTCTGGAGTCAGGAGGACCTGCGTTCAAATGTGGCCTCAGACACATAAAAACTCACTAGCTATGTGACTCTGGGCAAGTCACTTAACCCCAACTGCCTCACTTAAAAAAAAAAAGTTTTTACCAGTCTTATGGTCAATCTCAAGATTTCATTATATCTGAATAAAATGACTGACCAGTACCTAAAACTAAATCTACTGCATTAATGAAATATGTTTAAAGACGGCTAAAAATCTTCCTTTTATCTAACTTTTCCTATCAGTCAAGGTCATAAAAAAGAGAAGATGCAAACCAAAAATTCATCAAAGACAATAGCTTCATTAGGGAGTTCCAAACTTACAGACTGTGTTTCAAAAGTTTGTTTCCTTTCTTTCTTCTTTTTTTTTTTTTGTGAGGCAATTGGGATTAAGTGACTTGCCCAGAGTCACACAGCTGGTGAGTGTCCAGTGCTCTATCCACTCCGCCTCCTAGCTGCCCCCAAAATGTTTGTTTTCTTAAGACCACTTCCCTCTAACAATGGCATAAATAGCAGTTCCCAGACCCCCCAAATTTAACGGCACATGTATCATGAAGGGTAGAAGGCAACACTATTATAACACCAGTAATTAAATTAAAAAACCCAATATAGGCACATATACATTATACACAAACATTTTTAAGGTATCTTTAAATTCTAATGTGGAAGATAATAAGATGACTAAAGAATCTGTCGGGCTCCTAATGGGGAACGCTGGGCAATTGTTCAAAGGCTTTAGAGACTGTGGATAGTGGCGCTTTACGATTTTCCTCAATGCAAGTGATTATTAATCATCACACGTCAGGGTCCCTTTTTGCCTCACAAGCAGAAGTGAGAAAGAGAGAAATAAATTTCCTAAGATAACTAACGAAGGAGAAAAGGGATTAAATAAGATGTGTGTGTATATGAGGGTGACTACCAAAGTAGATACTGGAGCTGGAGGAACTGCCAAAGAGAGGAGAAGCACTGCCTGGCCAAGTTCCATCTGCTGTTTGGGATTCTTCTGTTCCCTGAAAAAAAGTTGAGTTCTGCTATACTGTAGAATAAGGGATGGAGAGTAATAACCAAGGAGGCTGGGAAGAGAGGTTGAGGCCGAATTGTAAGAAGCTTTAAAAGCCAAACAGGAGTTTTCACTTGACTCAAGAGCAGATTTTAGAGTAATAACACGGCCAGATCTGCATCAAAAGAAAATCCTTGGGGCAGCTAGGCGGTGCAATGGATAGAGCACTGGCCCTGGAGTAAGGAAGACCTGAGTTCAAATCCCACTAGCTGTATGACTTTGGGAAAGTCATGGAAGGAAGGAAGGAAGGAAGAAAGAAAGGAGAGAGAGAGAGAGAGAGAGAGAGAGAGAGAGAGGGAGAGAGAGAAAGAAAGAAAGAAAGAAAGAAAGAAAGAAAGAAAGAAAGAAAGAAAGAAAGAAAGAAAGAAAGAAAGAAAGAAAGAAAGAAAGAAAGAAAGAAAATCCTTTTGGTAACTATTTGAAAGATGATTGGAGTGGGGGAAATAATAGGCACAAAGTAGTAAAAGGCATTGCAACAGTTTAGGAAAGAGATGATAAAGATCTGAACTAACATGGTAGCTGTATGAATTGAGAGGAATAGCTAAGAGATACTGTGTGAGTAGAGACAGCAAGATTTGGTAACAGATTTGGGTAAAATCAAATAAAAATAAATAAAAGCAAGTAACTAATTGGATATGTAGGGTAAGGGGGAGGGAGGAATCAAAGACAATGACAAGGTTGCAAAACCTGGGAAGCATGATGGACAGGAAGCATGATGGAAACCTTGGACAGGAATGGGGAAGTCTGGAAGAAGGGTGGGTTTTGGGAAAAATAACGAGTGGTGTTCTAGACACGCTGAGTTTGAGATTGTCCTGTAACATACAGTTTACAATATCCAAGAGGAGGTGCTGCAGAACTGGAACTCAGGGGAAGAGAAGAGGGCTAGATATATAGATCTGGGAGTCACTGTATAGAGATAATAAATTTATGGAAGCTGATGAAGGAACAAAGAGAAGAGGGCCTTGAAGAATACCCACAATGAGGAAGCATGATGACCCAGCAAAGGAGACTGAGTGGTCAAGAATAAGATATAGGAGAATCATGAAAGAATAAGTAGTCTGGGGAAAAAAAGACCCATACAGGAGGGAGTATCCAGGGGAAGAGGGTAGTCAACATTTTACCAAATATAGCAGAGTCTGATAAGGCTGAGGACTGAGACAAAACCATCAGCTGTGGAAATCACAAAACACTCAGTCTTTTTACTCCAACATACTTTTAAGAAATGCAGTATGATGTGCTACATAACGTTCAAGAGGGCCAGGATTCAAGTCCTTCCTCTGAAGCATACTAACTATGAAGATAAAAGGCCAGAACTGCTGGGATAAGATAACTCTCCAGATCTTCACTAAATGTTCTATGCCTGGGAAATCCTGGCAGCTGTCCAGAGCAAGCCCTTTGACCACTAGGGCAAAGGATAAATAACACGTCATTTACATAGAGGGGACACTCCCACATTGAAGGTTTCTAAAGTAAGGAGTCGCTTTATTTAATGGCAACTAAATCTTTTATGAAATAAGAAGAAATTATTTTTTTAAAAAAGAATAGACAAGGAAAGGCATGATACCTACCTCTGGAAGCTGGTTTGTGTTTCACCTATTTCAACTAATCTCTTTTTCTTAAACCAAGGCTTGACAGTAATAAGCAACCAAACAACAAATAATTATGTCTAATTTTGAGTTTTTAAGGAGGTAAAATCCAAAAGTGAACAAGTCCCGAGGCAGACTCATCCACCAAGGTACTTACCAAAATCTGAAGCTCTTTTTCCAAATCATCTTTCACTTGACTCACTTCACTCAAATTTTTCTGAAGATTAATGAGCTTTAACTCTTTCCCTTGTAGTTCTTTTGTTATGTGACTAGCCTAATATGGATTGTTACATGGAATAAAAGCAAACAAACAAAAAAAAAACAAAAATGAAGGAGGGAAAATTATAAATTAAAAAAAATTATGAGAAAGTAAACATGGTTGAACAAAGCTGAAGGAAATAAAGGCATGTGTTAAAATACTTTTAGTGATAAGAAGCCAATTATGAAACTATAATTCTACACAGAATTAGTTAAGATTTCCTAATAACTATTATTTAATTAAATATCAGAAGATACATTAAAGGGTCTGTTGTAGTTTTGTGTTTTTTTTTTTAATTTGTGGATGTCTCCATGTCAGAGATCATGACACCTGACAGAGGACAGCATTTTGTATCATGAAGCAATATTTATTAACAGTTTGAAGTTTTCTAGGTTTTAAAGGCCATTAGGCCAGAGCCAGAAAGCTCAAATCTGAACTTTAAAATGAGCCATGAGTTGTAATTTTTAAATTTTTATTTTGTTTTGATTGAATATCTTTGGTACCATAAGAGGAGATTTGCCAAAAAAAAAAATTTCCTCACCTAATTTCTAGTCACCTTTGGCTAAAGCAATCTCTGAAAAACCTTATTAAACAATAGGGTCTAGTCCCAATTCTGCCATTTAGTATCTACGTGACATCGTCTTTCTGAGACTCAAGTTTCCTCAAAATAGTTGTCAAGCACAAATAAGATGATGTGTAAGAAACAGCTCTGTAAAGTAACACACAAATGTATCATGCAAGTATAAAATATTATTATCGCAAGAAGAATCAGTAAGAAGGAACAGGTAGGAGAAAAACAAAATGCTAGAGTGTTGGCAGAACTAACTCACATGTCAGATGGATTTAGTTTACTCCAATCAAATCTATAAAATTTAGTCCAATCCAATCAAATATGTAGAATTAAATAAACAAACAATATACTATGGGGGCAGCTAGACGGTGCAGTGGATAGAATTCCGGCCTTGGAGTCAGGATGACCTGGGTTCAAATCCAGCCTCAGACACTTGACACTTACTAGCTGTGTGACCCTGGGCAAGTCACTTAACCCCAACTGCCTTGCCAAAAAAAACCCCAAAAAACAAAAAAACCCCAATATACTATGCACATGATTATCACTTAATAATCAAGGTTTTTAAGCTAGATGAAGCAACATGGCATAGTGAACACAGTACTGAGTGCGGAGTTTCTTGTACTTCACGTTTATTAACTGTGTGAGCCTGGGCAAGTCATTTAACCAGTGTGCCTCCCACAACTCCTAGAATATACCACAAAAGGTTTACTACCTACAGACCTAGGTTATTCCCACACCAAGACATGCTCAATCTGATGAAATTACAGTTCCTTTGCATTTGAGCTGCATGTAAGATTTATATAAAATATTAATTTTCTAGGGAATACAGAGGACTCAAAAGTCAATCTCAATATCCTTTAATTTTTCTCAGTGGTGTAGCATAGCATAATGAATGGAATCAGCACTAGACTTTGAATCAGAAAATCTGACCTTATGTAAGTCCCAGCTCTGACACTTTCAAAAGTTTTAAATCATAGTCAAATCACTCAACTTTTCTGAGCCCACTTTCTCAAATCTAAATTGGGCCTAATATTATTTATTCCTACCTTATAACCTAACCATATGGAAAATGCTTCATAAATATAAATTTTAATGAAAAACTCACAATACATGTGTACCATTTTCCAGAAGCTAAGTGCAACTTATAAACCTGACTCTGTTCCTGTTAAAAAAGCCCATTCTGGACTTCCAAGAGAACTGTCACTCTTAACGTTTCCAAGAGAACCATGTAAGTGGCAACAATGGAAAAGTCTGACTTCTATGAATATACTTTTATGTCTGAAAGAAGAATTATGACCCAGTGATTTCTAGTTGGGAGGAACGAGTATTTTAAATAATTGCTGAATTTGATCAACATTCAACTTGCCTCAACATTGCTTACTTACTGAATCGCAGGAAGCTTTGCTGCTTTGATAACTGATAAGCACATCATATAGCAGATGGAAGACATAGATTAAACTGAAACAAGAGCTGAACAACTCTTGTTTCAACAAGCCCTGTCGGCAAAAAGAATACACAGAGGACCCAAAATCACAACATGCAAAATTAGAGATAAGCTTCTATATTCTAGATAGAGAATTTTCTCAGATCTCCTCATATGAAACAAAGATACTTCACTGGGAAAGCTTCAAGCAACAAATGAGTTATTTTGGGAATGGATATGAATGCCTTGGATTCAAAAGTAATAAACAATGCAAAATGAGAACAACAAACAGAAAAGAAAAATCTGAAGGATGTTGATACAAACCTTGCCACTTGTGGCAATTTTTTCCATCTCTAAATTTTTAATTTGTTTCTCAGCTGCCTCAAGCTGCTGGCTAAGTTTTTGCACTTCCAATTTACCTTCGGAATTGGCTTTCCAAAGTGCATCAAGGTCCAAGAGTTTTTCTTCGGTAGCCTTGAGCTGGGTTGTAATATTATCAATAACCTTGGTTTGTTCATTGTATTTGGCTTGCAGTACTTTTAGCTCTTTTACCTTTATTTCCGCTTCCTGCAATTTGTTTAATGTGTCTTCCATCTCTACTAGATGTTGGTCTTCTGCTTTTTCCATCTGGAGTCTGAGGCCTTCTAAACCTTGCTCCTTTTCTTTAATGATTTTCATCAGCTTAGTCTTAAGGATTTCCATCTCTTTAGCATGAGCAGACCGTTCCGAGTCTTGTTTGCATTTCAAAGTCTCTATTTCACCCTGATAGTCTAGTTTCAATTTTTCAATCTGTGTCTTTAGCTCAGCAAATTCCGCCGTCTCAGACCCAACACTTCTGCTAAATGAAACTTTGAGTTCTTCCATTGCCTGTTGATGGGAAGCAATGGCAGATTCTAGTTTCGACTTCCACAGAGCTATCACTTCAGAGTTCTCCTTGTTAGCATGGTCAAGCTTGCTTTTCAAAGACTCGTTCTCCTTTGAGAGCTTTTCAGATGCTGCATGAAGCGCCTTCACTTCCTTTTGATGACTTTCTTCTGTGGCTCCAAAATGTTCCTTTAGAGAAATTATTTCATGTTGGTGGTCAATATGCATGGCTTCTAATTTTTCCTGCAAAGAGCTTATCTCTTGCAAAAGAGAGAGTGAAGTGTCCACATCACCAGCTGGTTTACTGGACTCCAAACTTCTTCGAAGCTCAGCTACTTCCTGTATTCTTAATGTTAAGTCTCTCTCTAGCTCCATAATACGAGACTTTTCTGAAACTGTAGCCACCTATTAATAACAGCAGTTCAAAGAAACACATTATTTAAATAATAAAACACAGGGGTTTTACTTAATCTAGAAGTTATGTAAAAACAAGCCATTAAGAAATCTCCCAGTACGCACTAAAGCAGTAAAAATATTAACATTTGTACTTAATATATATTTCTAGCAGCTTTTTTCTTGGTTTCTCAAAAACAGCTTCATAAAAATCTACTAAAAATTACTATTTTGAGACACTAAAGGAATCTCAGTTTACCTTTTCTAAGTTCAATTACATTAATAATTCTGTCCCTCAATTCCTATAAAAATATAGGGGATCAGAGCATGTTCTGCAAGTTGTTGTGAGTGAAGCCTGCCTTACTTAATTCCAGAAAGAACGACAGTACCTGATCCAAGTTAAAGGAGGCAGTAAGACAAAGAGTCTGAATTACTTAAACTTTCCATCACCAAGTGATAAATGCGTATAGTAGAATAACATAATTTCTATTGCCTAGGCTAGGCTGTTGCCTCCAACAGTTTTTCTTAAGTATATGACAAGAATCATTACTTACCTATCATTCTAATTAAGTGTCTTCTAATAAGCCCCCTCTTGGATTTCATCAAGTCCATTACTGACTTGACCAAATAACTTTATACAATTTTATTTCATTCCCTAGCACTTTCTGAAAGCTACTTTCAACTACTTATTAGATTAATCAGGATCCCTGGGGAAAAGCTAGCTTTTGGCATAAAAAGTACAGCGAAATGCTGCAGTCTAGCCAAACTGGCCTTCTTTCTCCTTCACACACAAACCCCCATCTCCCAGGCCTCTGCACCAGCCATCCTACGGGCTTAGATTCTGCACTCCCTCCTTACCCTTGGCTTCACAGACTTTCACTCTTCTAAGAGATAGCTCAGGCCTCATTTTCTGCATGAAGCCTTTCTTCATTTCCCAACTGCCAGAGCCCATCCTCCAAAACTACCCCGTATCTAACAACTTTGTATATATTTATCTTGATACCAATGATTTCTTAAGGATGTATCAAATCTTAAGGATGTTGCTTTTCCCTGACTCAACTCTCTTCTTCCACAATGTCTTTTATTAGGACAGCCAACAAATAATAAAAACTTATTTGGGTTTCACTCCCTCGCTTTCTGGAAAGGATTAAAATGACCACAAAGTACACAGCAAGAAGAGAAGGAAAAGTGAATCGGAAACATTCTACAGACAGGATCAGCTTGTAAATCATTCCAGAGTTGTACTGTCACCGATCCTTTACAGAGTTTAAGGAAACCAAAATAATTCCCATAAATAAGCCAAGAGACAGGTACCACAAAATCAGGTAGCAAAATATTAATGAAGTAGAGCAGCGTCTACAATATTTAAAAAATATATACCTAGTGGGCAGATTAATTTAAATTAGCCACAATGAAGCTATTGAAACACATATAAGATGTAAAAGGGGAGAAAAATACCTTTTCTGGTATATCCTTAATGGAATTCTAAAGTCCTAGAAAAATAACAGGTTCTCCTATATTATCATAAAGAGGCATACCTCTGACCCTATGTGATATTAAGCTAAATGGATGATTTCATAACATAAAGAGAGCTTTTGAAAATTCAGAGTGGGGATTAAGAGAAGACACTTATTAGAGGAACAAATATCATACTATAAATAGTATTCACCAATGACAGTGACAAAAAAATTATCAAAAGTTACTTGCAAGCAAAGCAAACCCCTTGGAAAGCTCTACAGAAATGAGAGCATACTTACCTGATAGCCATTCAATTTGATGAAAACTGAGTTCTATTTGCCCCTCCCAACTCCTACACTAATTCCCTGGCTAACAAGTAACTATGAACTGCATGCTTTGTGTTTCAGTGTGCCCTGTCTTTCCCCCTTACACCAAATACACAGGAAATTTTCCCATTTGGGGCTGGGAGAGAAAGTTAAAAAGAAAAACAAAACCAAACCACACACACAGTACAAAACCTTTTGATGGAAAAATAAAAGGGACTGAATTATATAGATTGTAAAAATCAGTGATTTCTCATCAAGAAAAAATTAAAAAATATTAAGGATTAAAAAGAAAAATTACAATGTAAGGTTTAATTAGCATAATTATTTGAAATTTCAAGCTTCAGGATACTTGGCCATTCAGCCATCTGAAAATCAAATGTTTTGATTAAAATATTTAATGAAGATTTATTTCTTTTAAGCACAAAGATGCTTATGAAGTCAAAAGATTCCCTTTGAAACTCCTAGTAGTTTCAAAGGTCAAAACAGAACCATAAACTGATGGCCTCAAAAACCCAGTTGTGGTCCCAGTGCATGGCACTTCCACTTAGTCATCCTCCTAACCAGGGAGATTAAACCCATTGGAGGGCCAGAAAAGAAAGACTAGGATGCAGACAGATCAGGTACCAGGAAACAAGGAAGAGGGAAGGGCAGAGGCGGGGCAGGGAGACAGGGAAGCCAAGACTCAGCCAGTGCTCTACCCTCTTCCCACCAAAGATCAGGGAAGAAGGCAGGGAAAAAGCCAAAGCCCAAAACAGCAAAATAAAAAAGGACCATGAGAGTCTACCTGACTGGTTGGGTCAACTCACAGATATCTATTTTGCAGTACAACCAATCTTGCTGTTGTTTTTGGTGCACAGATGGGCTATATTATTTCTTAACTCAATTTGTGTGAAAAAGAGCAGCTAAAAATTTTAAAGACTAATGTGAAAACACCTAGAACTACGGGTCACTCTAAGTTCATGAGCATCTGAACAATACCAGGACCAAGCTTAACCTATACCACTGGGACATGAGTCATATGAATGACAAAGCACAAGGCCCCTAAATGTCCACAATTCAACCATGGGGTCTCGTTTCATTAAATAGTGAAAACCATTACCCTAGTGTCTTCTAACTCCCTCTGGAGTTTGTCAGCTTTGGTCTTTTCAAAGAGCAGGCTTTGTTCAAGCTCCTTAATGCGGGCATGCTCCAGTTTGGTCTGCGTCTGTTAGTAAAAAGGAAGAGGAAGAGAACACAAAAGTGCCACCATCACATGCCAGCACAAGAAGAGAGAGCGGCATGCAGGCAGAGCCACCAATATTTTTTTTTTTGCAAAAAAAAAATGAGCAGAAAAGATAGAGAAGGGAAGAGGAAGGGGTTGAGATGAAGAGGTGGGGGATGACAAAGTAGGCTATGAATATGGTGTGGTGGGTGAGGAGGGTAAATGAACTGAGGCAGAGAACAAGAAAAGAGAAATAAAGCACGTGAGGCGAGATGGAGAGGGTCAGATACATGCAGCCAAACATGAGTTATATTGATAAGTAAGTGAAATTTATCAGCACAAATTAGATTAGTTAATATTTCTCTAAGCTATGGTCACCCCTATTCTCCAATGTCAATATCTGACATATATGTAAGCAACTGACTTACAGACTCCATGAAGCCACTATTTTGAAAACTATTCAGTTATTCTTGAGATCTCACTAAGGTCTTGAGGCAGATCCTCAAATCTTAAAAAAAATCTGACATGACTGAGGACAAGGATATCACTCCTTAATGGTATTCAGAAACAAAAGTAAGGGCATAACATGAAGGGCGTCTGCTGAGGTAAGCAGGAGGGCCTGGGATCCTTAGAAACTGGTTTTCCTACCTACAGTACACAGAAGACAGGAATCACAACTTCTAAGCTACTATTTCTTTCAGAGAGGAAGTATGTTCCAAAAGCTATTCATCCTCAGAGAAAAAGGAGTCAAATGAAAAGATGAGAAAAATGATTAGAGTATATTTTATGTTCTCTGCCTAGGCAGGTATGAGATGTAACAAGTGGATTTAATAAGGAAAAATGATATTACTATAATTTGGGAAAAGTTCATTACACTTTGCTACAAAGAGGAAGAATAGCCTATATAATTTGAGGGCAAAAAATGAGGAAAGAGAATGAAAAGCCGGGAGTAAACTCACAAATTTTACTTTCCATTATCATGCATTTAGATTGCTTAGGAGACTAGATATGATTCATGGAAACACAGAATTTTAGAGTTTGAAAAGAATTCAGCAGACAGCAAGGCCAGCCATACCCAAAAAGGAATTGCCATTATAACAAATATCAGGTCATTCAGCTTCTGCTTGAAAACCTCCAATAAAAGGGAAGACCAGAGATTTGGGCAGATTTGAATAAGACAAAATCTTAATGAATCTATTACAGTTCTTACTAATCCAAGAATATTCTTTGCCCAACCTATTTTGTCTATATAAATCAGCTGATGTAACAATTGATTGAATACAGACACAAGGGCTACTTTTCTCAGCAGCTGACAACCATTTACACTGCAAGAGCTAAATTAATAGGCCAATTTGAGCATCTGGAGTCAGTGACTATAGTTAATGATAGTGATATAGTTTTTGTGCAGTTTAACTAGAAGAAAAAATGTAAAAAAAAACCACCTTGTTTTAGTGGGAAGGGCATTTTTTACTTCTAAATCTTCAAATTATATTAAAGAAATTTTTAATAGGAATGAGGAAGAAAAGTTTCCTTATACTTTCAACATGATGACTGAATCCGATTCAGATTCTAAGAATTGGATAAATTGTCTCCAACCCCATATGTGACTTTTATTTATATATTACTCAAATTGCTTTTCTTTGGGAAATACAGACCACTGTGGTCAGAAATTTGAAATCAGCCCCAACAGTGAAATCCAGACAAGAAGCAGCGGGAAAACACCGCCACAGAATGTCTCTCAATCACCTGACACTGATCTAAGTGATCTAGAATCATAGAATCTTAAAGGTTGTCCAGTTCAACCCCAAAACCTACCACTAGGATGACTGTACAATGCCACCTGTCATCCTGCCTCTTCTCAGATACTGCCAATGAAAGGGAACTCACAACTCCACAAAGCACCCTACTGCCTTGTTCCTCAGCTCTAACTGCTGTCAAGATTTTTGCAGAACTACCAAAAGAAAATCAAGGACCTGTTCTATTCTATTCTTCCCCCTATACAAATTCTGATAATTTATGTGCCTTAACAGGATAGATGTTTATCCTGTGGATTGCACTGAGACACAGGACACCTGGATAAGTACAGTCTCCACAGTGGAACATCTATTAAAAATGTTCCAAACACTTGAATGACTGAAGAAACCTTTTCAAGTATTTTGTTGCCTTGAAAGATGGCAAAAGATCCCAAGAGACAGTAACAGGAAGTCAAAAAGAAAAGCAAAGGCAAGGAGAAGAACACACAAGAGCAGCAAGAGGAAGACCCCACGCAGCCGGGCACCATTTGTAGCAGAAGCCTGTTTCAGAAGGAGAAAAAAGAGACCCAGTTCACTAATGGAGCTTCACAAGAAGGAATCTTTCAGAAGGAAGTTCAAGCTCAGGACTGAGTTTTCAATACTACCAAGGGTGTGTAGATGGGGAAAAGCGGACCTTTGGTTTAACCTTATTCTTATTCTCTTCATAGGACTAATCAAAGCAAGAGCTTTTCGATTCCATTACTTTGATGTTACAGCTGGAAATATATATATATATATATATATATATATATATATATATATGAAAAATGAAGCAATGTTTTTTAATTCAGTTGGGTGAGGTTTATATTTTACTATTTCAGGTAAAACACACACACAGAATAGCTTTGCCACTCCAAAAAAAAATCACTTCAGTACATGCAAATCAAAGTTAAAATTGTACACAACAACGAGAATGCTGCATGTATGTTTTCCCTGGAGAATGCTTTCCTCTGCGCTGTTTATGAAATGAGGAACACACAACGTGTTCTCAAATGCAAACTTGGACTTCATGACTGTCAACTGTCCTAGTAGTCACTGACCAGTGGTGGGAGCTCACGGAAAGGACAACATCATACAAGTAGTAGGAATTTTGCAAATCCTTGTTACTGTACACAAGGAAGAAGACTCAGAAGACTTGAAAAACTGATCTAAACTTGTCCTTGTCCTCCTACTCTTTTCCCACCAAAGATATTTCAAGCTTCAGAAGGCCATTATCATTTCCTTAGTGGTGGTGTAAAAGCTACCATATAAAAATGAAATCATTGAAGGCCAGACCTAAGGCCTCCATTAACGAAGGAAATATTCTCATTTGTCCACATAAGAGTTCTAGAGAATTTCATCACTATATATATTTTCTTCTGAACAGAAATACAACTTCTCTGGAAAGACACATGCACAGAAATATTATAGTCAATGTTCTGAAGACAAATTGCAGTTAGTATTTGAGTATATAAATAAGCATTTTAACTGTATACAATCTGTGTTAACAGGGAAAATCTCCACACAGGTAAGCGCCCTCTTACATTCTCAGGATCTTCAGATATCTGGCTCTTTTGCTATCAGTAAAAAAAAAAAAAATAAAGAACAAAAAATTTTCAACTACTTTCAACATCTGACAAAGGTTCAACAAAATTGATTGATTATAACTATTGAACATATTATTGGTATAGTTCAGCTATAGGAATTTAGTCAGAATACTGGTTTTTTAAGTAAGATCTTTTCAAGAACTTTAGGAAAGCAGCAACTTTCTGATGAGGTTGGGGGCATTTTTTAAATGGATAAGAATAACACAAAAGTACAACTGAAGAAATGTGAGTGGATGTGAAATGAACAAAGGAGACAATTGTTACTGATAGCTAAATAGTGACAGAGGTCTAAGGTTTGGTTCCCCAAAACTAACACAATGAAAGGGGCTCCTTTATCATTAGTTCAATAAGCTTATTTTCAACTGAGAAGAGCCTCTGTTTCTTTAGTAGTTGTAACTAAGGGACTACTTGGCAGTACACAGTCTTGGACTTTCAAGGTAGCTCAAATTTATATTCTATGCATTGAAAACAACAGAACAACATCTAAAAACAATGTTGCAGATAAAGGTACTAAAATGAATCGAAAGGTACCCAGCATTTTTGATCTAAGATTTCCTGACAGGGAAATCTAACAGTGGTTATAGAAATATCAACTCACTCAAGTCAAAGCATCCCATGCAAAAATCTTGGCATGAATAAGGCTCTAAAGAGCAAGATAAAAGCTAAGGGTCACCAGTTCTCTGTGAATTCAAGATATGCAATGTCACTTAGATTGCAAATTAAAGAAAAAAGAAATGCTACATTCTTAATTTTGTGCTTTGAACTCATAAAAAAAAGAAATACAAAGCTCTTAGGGAAAACAAATGCCAGAGTCTCTCTTCTTCCAAAATGTTAAGAACAATTTTGACAATAATTTAAGTTCACAACTGGCACAGCCCATCTAGTTTTAGCCAGATTCACTAAGAAAAAGAATTGCAAGGGAGGAAAAGGTTACTCTAGTGACTACGATAACTCTAAATTGTCCTTTAAAGAAAAATGTGGTTATGAAAGAAGCTCGAGTACATACATGCACACACACACACATACACACAAAAATGCACGCATACATACATACCCCAGAATGGCTCTAACAAGAAAACTCACTGCCACATTTGTGACTTGATTAAAACTGTCTGAGATTTTAATTTTGGAATATGAGAAAAGAACAGAAGGTTCTCCTTTAGGGCTGCTGTCAAGGCCTTTGCAGCCACATTCTAAATAAAGCCCACCACCTCCAGCACCAGCCACCTAGCCACACCTGGAAGTCCAGCAGCCCTGCCCTTTGTGCCAGCTCATAGACTTGTGTAGTCTGTGTGCACAATCAATCAGGTCAGGCCATCAGTTCCAAGGGACACCTCTTAGGTGTCTCCTTCCTACAAACTCCTCTTACCACTACTCAGACTCTGGGCATGGTATAATTTTTCCACCTAGGGTTCTTTCTCTATCTTATTTCCCAAAGGAGCTTTTAGGGAGTTGGAGGGGTTTTACCTCAAGATCGCCTTTGGTAATAGATTCCTCCTCCACTCTGAACTGAAGGTCTTCAACCTTCCTGTGGGGTGAAAAACCAATGAAGTTTAGAATAATCCAAGAAATATGCCTGTCTTCACAAAAACAAAAACCCACCACCTCACTAATACATTTGATGATCTTTCCAGATGCTCTGAGGCAAGTAAAATGGCAATATTTACCTTAGGAAAGATAAAGAACTGTACGACCACATTTCTAACTACACCAGCCTTAATTTGATATCCAGAATACAGAAAGACAACAACATATTCTATTGGAATGACAAGAAGACAGAGACAGAAATGAAAAAAGTGAACTAATTCCTGTGGTCATTGCACCTAAAGCAGACCCAGACAATTAACAGACAACAAAGGCTAGGTCTGTACTGCCATAGAGATAGACATAAGATCTCACAAAAGTAGCTTCCTTTACTTTCTAGGATCAACACACAGGTTCTAGGTGGGGAACCAAGTCTTATTTAATCTGAAACATCAATGACAAAGGAGCATAGTTCAAAAGAAGTGGTGAGACATTGAGGATGAGTGGGGGTAGCCCTGGCTCCAGACTTATTTGGGCATCATGGGACTTGGTTCCAGAAGAGTGAGAAGGGGCTATAAACAATAATAAACAGAGTGGTAAACACACTCTGGTGCTAAAAACAGTGGGTAAACAGTCTTCTGAATACAGCAGACTCCAGAAATGTACAAGATTCACATTTCATAGGAAAACAGAAAAAGAAAAAAGCAAGCACATCTATGCAAAGTGTTTCCAACCCACATCATCTGTAGCAAAAGCAAGAAATTAAGAAGACAAGAATTTAAAAAAAAAACAAAACCCTAAACCCTTCCCTAGCTGAAACCATGTCCACAGCTGCAAATTACTCTTGGACTCAGTGCATACTTGGCTGCTGGGGAACATCTGTGTTGCCTGGCAGCCTGCAGGAAGACAGCACACAGAGGGATGGATGGTATTTTGGCATAAAGGAGAAACAAACTGTCCACTTATGTTTTCAAAGACTGGTGCTGGAAACATCTAAAGACAGTTCTTATTTACTTTAGGCCAATAAAAATGATTCCAGGAGAATATCCTAAGGGAAAATCTTGAGGCCCTTCATCATATTGTGTTTGTCCTTCTCCACACATTTCCCACTTATTCATGTGGTACTCAGAAGTGAACAGTAATTTATGACTGAACCATCGCTTGTCTTCTACTGCTACCTCACATTTTCTTAGCTTTCTTCGAGATCACATCACAGTTGACAAATAGAGCTTGCTAGAAGCCTCAATCTTTTGTAGACTGACTGCTCTCTAGCTACGCTCACATCTTGTACCTGTGAAGGTAATAGGGGTAAATCTTATTAGATTCACTCCAATGGTGTAAGCTTACCAAGATATTTGCAGAATCTTTGTGGGGAGACAGCTAGCCTTGGAGTCAGCAGACAAGTCCAAATCCAGCCTCAGATATTTACTAGCTATTGTGACCCTGGACAAGTCACATCAGTTTCCTCATCTTCAGAGTAGGGATCGCATTAGCACCCAATTCCCAAGGTTGTAATGACAATCAAACAAGATAGCACAAGTAAAAGAGCTTGGCAAACCTCCAAGTACTATACCGATGTTGGTTCTGCTGACTCTACCATCCAACATGTTAGCCAACTCCCCAAGCTTTGTACTGAACATACAAACAAATTAAACGTGCCTTTCTGGGCTTAGTAGACATCACTCTCCTTTGACAACTCTAGGATCCACACTGGCTACCTGCTGTTCCTCACATACCATGTGGTAGCCCCTATTCCCTTGTTTTCATGTGAGCAGTCCTCCATGTCTACAATGTAATACCTCTTCACAGCCACCTCAAACAATTTCCAGTTTGCTTTAAATTTCGGCTCCAGTGTTCTCTCCCACACAAGGTCTTTCCTGATGGACCCTGAACCTAGTGCCTCCCTATAAATTTACCTTATATTTATTTTATATATACTTATACATGCACAGTGCCTGGCACATAGTAGGTGCTTAATAAATGCTTATTATTTATTCATATGTGATATTCCCCAGTACAATAAAGCTCTCTGGGGACAGTTTTATTTTTGCCTTTGTATACCTAGTGCCTAGCACAAAGCCTAGCATGCAGCTGATGCTTAATTAATACTGATTTAATGGCTGGTGCTTTTGTGTCTCAATGAGATTATAAGCTCCTCAAAAACAAGCTGTATGATACTTCTTTTGTATCCCCTACAACCTACCACAGTCCTAAGCAAATAGTATTCAATAAACACTTGTCAGTATAAGAACATAACTACCTGAACTAACAGCTCCATTGCTCCATTGTTAATAATAGGAGGGGAAAAACTTTAGGATATACATAACACTGTTCAAACAATTTTCACACGAATTCTCTCTAAGAGGCCTGAGCTTGTGCCCTGCTATCAGAAACATCCCTTTATAACACCCAATCTTGAGCTCCTCTTTGGAACACAATACGCACTTGATTATACAGACGTCCTTTTGGAGTTCTCTAGTGTCATCTTCCCACTAAAACTAGGAACTCTTCAACTGCAGGAACCATATTCTGTATACTTTTTTATCTCACTAACCAAACTAGACACAGTATAAAACACAACAAAGCTATTCAATAAATACGAGAACATTTGATAGTAGGTGAGTCAGACCACGGTTCAGAGTTCAAATTCTATGTAAGTGAATATGGCAACCCTAGAGTCACATGCTTCATTAAGGAGGGTTAGCACAATTTGAGTAATTCCAAGTCTCCAAAGGCCCAAATGAAAAGTAAATGCCCATCACCCAGTATGAGTAACAAGATGTCCACTAAATAAATATGTTCATTCTTTGACAACAATGGTAGTAATTAAAAGGTCGATAACAGGAAGAATGTTTCAGATAATTCACAACTTTTTAAAAAAGCCACAGTTGTACATGACAGTTTGGGATCACCTTTTCTCTTCCTCTAGTTGGTTGAGAAGCTCCACCTTCTCCCTATCAGCAGCTTCCACCATAGCTCGCAGCTGATCCATCTTTGCTTCCATTTCCAGGACATGCTAGCAAAGGCAAGAATGCTGGTAAACAGACTGTTTCTGGCATAGATACACAATACCATAAAATCATAACTGAATTGTTAGACTTTTACCCTAAAATCTTATGTTAAAATGCTTTATGATCATAAATAAATTACTCTTCCTGGAAGCTGTGTCTACATTATCATTCCCATTTGAAAGACATAACCTTAACTCAAAAGGCAAGGGGATAGTAAGTAATTCACTCTCAAGCCAAAATCTATATATCTATGAAATGAGATGTGATTACTGGGAAGGTTTTTGGGTTGTTGTTTTTTTTTTTTAAAACATGACATTCCTGTCCTATTACATACAAGCCAGCCTAAAACAAATGACATCAGGATAGGAAAAAGTTGGCAAATTATTGTGGCCCAAGAGACAAAAACTTTTCCACCAAAAGCTACAGCTTCCAAACACAAGTGACAGCAGAATTTACAGTAAATCTCCCCAACTCTCAAAACCAGTTCACTGGCTCTGGGCATAAAGTATACCTTCTACCTCTTGACTCAACTTGGGGATTATCACCTCTGCCAAGAGACCTCAGTGCCCAGACTTCACCTGATCATGTCCATCCCGAGCCAGAGCTAGTTTCTGCTCTATTTCCCCCACATGGCTTGTTGCTTTTGCCACCTCCGCCCTCTCTAGGTCCCTCTCAGCCAGCAGCTGTTCGATGTGCTGCTGCTTCTCCTTCAGAGCCTCTTGGAGGGCGGTGGTGCCGGAGATCTTCCTGGCATATCTTGAAGAAGTTTCAGTCAACTGCAAAGTAAAGTTAAAAAAGTGAAGGCAATGCCATTATGGAGGCTCTGCCATTGAAGTAGCAGACAGTGAGCGGTACATGCACGCCAGGTGTCCCCTCGGCCAAGCGAAAGTGCCTCCTAGCTCTCGGACACGCCTAACAGCTAACTCTGGAGAGATTTCTCAGTAAAGAAGAGATCAAGCGTACGGTTTCTATCTGTAAATTTCACTGTAGGTCAATTACTGAGAACAAAAAGCCAATATGCCTGGTCACAGGACTACTCCAGTCAAGAAGGAGATGTGGTAAGGATCAGGCCAAGTGGCTTGGCTAAAAGTAACCATGACCTCAATCTATACGTACAGATGGGTGAGACATCAGGAGACATTTGCAGGACCCACTGAACTAGTCTCACTTAATTCCATTGCTGCCTGAGCTTGAGCTAGATGTACAAATATCCTCATGTTAGGAGAATTTGACTGTGCCTTCTACATTCTTCCTCGATCCACAATCTTGAGTTTGAATACATTCTTTATCCAACTTCTCTGAGGGTTGCAAATGCCATTAAGTTATGAAACAGCTCCCCCATGTAGTTAGAGACCCCTCTTCCGGTGATTAACGAGCAATAAATCACAGACTTTTGTTAGTAGTTTGTCTGTTAAAAAAAATATTCAGAGAAGCCATGTACCCAGAAATACAGATTTGGTGGAGCCGAAGTGCCAAGCATCTTCAAAGCACCTTATATAAAAAAAGATTGGAAGAACTGCATCCACCTTGCAAAATGTAAAAAAGAAAAAAAAAATAGAAGTCCTTGTATTCACTCTTTTTTTTTAAGTCTTAGATTTCTTGTTCCTTCCTTTTGAGGAAAAAAATCAGCTAGCAGAAGACTAGATGTGAACTCCAGCAGAAAAGTAACCTCCCAGGCTAGCTTGTAGGGGCCAGGAGAATTCTTAACAGCCATCTTTTGTCTTGGGATGCATTCATCTTTAGATTCCTACCTTGTGCAATGCTTATTACCAAAATTTCATTTAGTATCTGAATGTCTTCTCTTAATAAAGGTATGTGAGTTCTCATGGGAAGGGCACTCATGATGGGCATATGTGTCTGCCTTAGTTCAAGATTAGGCAATTTGACGCCAAGGAAAAAAAAAGAATCCAATTATATTATACTGTTTTATATTATGAACAAGGATACAGTAAAGTTCTAATTATGAAATATGTCTACTGTGTTATGAATAATTTCCTTGCTTGCTTCTAAAATACATTTGTTTCAGGATAACAAAATAATAATCACCAACTTTTTACTGTTTGCGGAGTTAATTGATTTTCAGATGACTTAAAAAATAAGATTTTTAGTTCTTTAAACATTATCCTCTAGGATACACACAAAATCATCATCCTTAAAAATGAAAGAAAGCTCAACTCACATTCCAAAATTTCCTTACTAGATTGACCCACTGCTCTGAGAAAACAAATAAATAAGGATTGAGGTAGTTACAAAACCTAGAGTAATTTTGCTTCTTTGACCCATCACAATTCCAAAGGACTCATGATGAAGCACGCCCTCCACCTTCAGATAGAGAGCTGATGGACTGAGAGTACAGACTGAAGTATATTTCCTTCTTTCTTTTTCTTCCTTTTTTTTTTAACATGGCTAATATGCAAGTTTGTTTTAGATGACTATACATATTAGCAAAGGGTTCTACTTTTCCTGCCTTCTCAATGGATTGGGGAAAGGAGGAATGAGAGAATTTGGAACTTTAAAAAAAAGTAATTTTAAAAGTCTCAGTGCTTAAAATTAAAAAAAAAAAATTTAAGTAACATGTGCCCTGGGAAACATAGCCAAATAAAAAATTCCTAGAATGGACACTCCCATGAACATTTTCTATAATCCACCTAGATTTACCCAAGCAGACTCAATTTATTAGAGTTAACCATCCCTACCATTTGAAAAAAGTGAGGAGAATCCTTTATCAACATTTCAGAGTTCTTGTTACCTTTCCCCCAAAAAACGCAACAGAGTCTTCTTCTAGATATGTAGATTTTCTTTCCAAATGCTATTAAAATAGCCTAACCTTTCTCTAAATTTTTTGGTATGGCTGGTGGGAAAAATAAATCTCTGACAATAGGCACAACATACATGGTACAACACCTAAACAAACTAGGTAGCCCTTCAACTCCAAGACCAAAGCCTAAGTCATCCATCTGCAGCAAACAATCACATAAAGGGAAACTGAACATCCTAAAATGCTTCTTCAATTAATACCTTAAATCCTAACCTCTAATCTACCATCACAATGGAAACAAACTAAACACAGTGTGAGTCACAACCTATTTCTAAGGCTACTCTCCATCATTTCAAAAATGAGCCAGTAGGTAACATGACCTTTCTGGTTCCAAACTTAAGGACAAGGACCAAAGGATAAGTCAATTCCAAGTTACTGCTTTAAAGTCTATGATTCTTTAACACTAGTTGCTGCATTTATGATCAGGGTGGGTATTGCCTACTTTAAATCTGATGTTTCTATTTTTTAAATGCCTTTAAAAAAAAAGACTCAAAATTTTTCTTTAATCCCCCAAAGAACCCAGAAACTTATTTTGTTTCCTCTTTCTGAAACCAGGAACATTCTCCACAGTAAGAGTTTTTTGCATAACAAAATATCAGAATCTTCAAAATCTGTATTTAAAATATTTTTTCTTAAGTGTTAAAGAAAATAGAAGAAGAAAGAGGCTTCTATTTAAGAAGAAAAATATCTCTCGAATTTCCACATCTTTACTTTGTCCAAACTGTATCATAGAAACCACTCACCCACCAATGCCAGGCTACTTAACTATATGGGTACAGAAGAACTAGATAAATTTGAGTTTAAGGAAATGAAGAGTTTGGCAGTGACTGTGAGAAACCTCTTTCTTATTTCAAAAAGTTAGCATTCTTGATGTAGTTAGGGCACTATAAAAACATACATGTGATCTACTAGTAACAGGTTTCATGGCAAGCTACAACTTCCATGCATGCTTTTTTTTTCTTTCTTTCTTTTTAAAGTACAAAAAGAAAGGAATTTACGGTTGTTGTTTAAGCAAAGCAAAAGACAAAAGAGCATTTGCTGCACCTGGGAGGCGTGAAGCATGCAATAAGAAAACTGGAGCTTACTAATCCTGTACGACTGGGCTTGCTGCTTACGGAGGAGGCTACAGAACTCAGGGAGCTGAGAGAGGAGGCCGAAGGACTACGCTTCAGGCTGCCTGGAGTTGCCATCACTTTCCTCACAGCGGCAGCCTTGGCTTTGGCTGGTGTTGTAGAAGGGAAGCCAATCTTTGTCACTTTATGGACAGGAGCAAACAAACCATATTTGGGTTGACACTGAAAATACCTACAGAGAACAAGAAGAATTCAAATTACTAGGTATAATGACCATTAGAATACCCCCTCGCCCCCACCACCACTATTGGCTACTGTGATCTATGCCAACAGGTATAACAGTATCAAGATTATGCAACACACGTTACCATTCAAACACATGAAGGCAGACAGCCTTGGAGTCAAGAAGACCTGGGTTCAAGTCCTATACCTGACAATATGGCTCTCTGAGTGAGAAAGAAACCTCTAAATGCCTGGGACAACTAAGCCTATAAGTTACAGATGAATCACTCATCTATACTGGTAAAGAATGTTTCCATATTAGAAATTCCCTATGCTAATGAAATCACAGGGATGTATCAAAAAATTTAAATAAAATACACCTACATACTTGGATATAGCTTTAGGTTTAGATTTATTCATTTTTATTGAGCTTATAATTTCACTGATATAAGAAATTCCTGATGAGGAAATACCTTCTACTACTACAGATCAGCAATTCATCTATAACGTATCTTTTTTAAACTGTGTTTTTGTTTTTAGTTTTCAACATTCACTTTTATAAGATTTTGAGTTCTAAATTTTTCCCCTTCCCTTCTGTCCCCTCTCCCCAAGATGGCATGCAATCTGATATAGGCTTTACATGTATAATCATATCAAACATACTTCCACATTAGTCATGTTGTCAAGAAGAATCAAAACCAAAGGGAATAACCACAAGAAAGGAAAAAAGAAAGAGCTAATACTATGCTTCAATTTGCATTCAGACTCATAGTTCTTTCTCTGGATGTGGATAGCATTTTCCATCTTTAGTCTTTTGGAATTGTCTTACATCACTGCATTGCTGTGAGGAGCTAAGTCTATCAAAGTTGATCATCACACAATGTTGCTGTTATGTGTATAATACTCTCCTGGTTCTACTCACTTCACTCAGTATCAGTTCATCTAAGTCTTTCCATGTCTTTCCACGTTTTTCCGAATTCCACCTGCTCATCATTTCTTATGGAACAACAGCATTCCATTACATTCATATACTACAAGCTGTTCAGCCATTCCTCAATTGACAAGCATCCCCTAAATTTCCAACTTTTTGCCACCACAAAAAGAGCTGCCATAAATATTTTTGTACACATAGGTCCTTTTCCTTTTAACTCTTAAGGAGTTAGCTGGGCAACTGACGCTTGCCTCAGGTCATACAACTTGAACATATCAGAGGCCTCAGAGGAAAGACTCGAATCCAGGTCTTCAAGATTCCAAAACTGACTCTCATCCACTACACCATGTTGCCCTCCCCCTGTCTGTCAGTCTGTCTCTCTTGATATGTGTGTATGCATATATTCATTTGAGATATATACAAAATATATACACATGTGAAATATGAATCTAAGAACATTTTTAAAATTTACCAAATGCTAAGGAAGAATCATAGTAACAGACCAACAAATTCTAATCCAAGGGACCAGAAATTTCATCTACTTGATAAAAAGAAAGCAAGAGTACACAGATATAACTTTCCTACACAACAGAAGAATCATATAGATAGAAGAACTTATTATAATAGAACAGAATAACCTATTCATAAAAAAAAAATCAAACAAGTATATAGGTTTGGCAGAGGTATTAAAATACAGATAAACAAAGTTACTTATCTCAATTACTGAGGCAAATAATGCCTGTTGCTGTTTAATGAAATTAGGGGACTATTATGTTTTTCTCACAATACTGAAAGTGAACATTTGTATAAATTTATCATCGCAAAGCTTCTATTTCCATTGAGTATTATAATATATTTATTATATAGGTCCTATACTATTATTACTATTATTATTTATATAGGTCCTATATAACATAGGACCTACACCACTCACATCAGTACATGTGTGTTCTAAGCAGTGTTAGTTGATTAATATAAACTATTTTTATATCAATGATATACAATTAAAAATAAACCTTTTACCACATCTGTCAACAAGAAGAACCCATAGTGAAAAAGATTACAGATCTTTAAATGACTCAGATAAGCAATCATTCTTTTGGCAAATGTTACCTCTGTTTTTTAATTGTGGGACAGAGGTAGATTATTTTAAATACATAGAAAACTGAGTACCTAGAAGAGAAAGAACTTGCCTCTGAACAGTCAGGCAGGCCTGTGTCTAATCTGTTAGACACAACTAGCCCTTGTTTATGCAGAGTAGGAATTCTGCAGTTATAGGATGACACATTTAGATATGAGTTTTAAAAACACATGGTTTACATTCATTTTTTACAAAAGTTAGATCCCTCTTCTTTACACTATGCCTTGATCTCTCGTGTGAAAAGCTGATTTCACAATACAGAACAAAGTTACAAAGTGTTCCAAAATATTCCTCTCCAGGCTGAAAATAAAAGATTCTTCCCAGGGTATGACAGAGATTACTAAAGGGATTATTCAAAGGATACCTTAAATTCTATGGGGAACAGCCAAATCAATGTCATTGGTGAGAAACATCAGGCCATTGGCACTCATCTGTTTTGGTTATATTCCACGCGTGCTTGGTGAAAGCTCTACTCAAACACACAAACACTAAACAAACCTTGTTCCAGCAACTGCTCCATCGTTCTTTCCAAGAGGTTCATCCAACTCCACACCACACCATTCTCCTTTGGCAAAGTCTGTCTCCCCAAGAAATCGTACTACCCCAGCTTTTGTGCCACCAACCTGGAAGTGGAGAAAAAGAATGACAAAAGAAACTGAGATGGAGGGGCGAATCACTGAGAAAATACCCTGCTCAGCTGTTTCTACTAGCGGCTTGTTCTGCCTTCCTTGTTTTCTTCCTCGACCCTGCTTGCTGGGCTACTCTTCAAGAAAAACTATAGAAAGATCAACATAACGAAATACTAGCACACAATCAAAATGATAAAGACATTTGAAAGTATTTAAATGAAACAATTCAAAGACGAAAAAGAACAGAAGAGATGGCAGTGTTGCACAGTGGAAGTGGTCCTGGAGAGATAGACTGGCAGAATAGACAGAAATCAGCCTTGAAGTCAGGAAGAAAGGAGTTCAAGTCTTGCCTCTGACATACACTGGCTGTGTGACTCTGGGTACCCAGTAATCTCTCCAGGTCCCTATGCAACTCTCCAAGATTATAAATTGCAAATAAAGGTGCCAATATTAACTGGAAGAAATTCCTCACTAGGAGTTCCCTAATAAGGGAGGGAAGGAGGAAGGAAGAGAGGAAGGGAAGAACGGAAGGAAAGGAGGGAAGGAAGGAAGAATTAGCTCTAGAGCCAGAGGACTTGTGTTCATATTCTAGTTCTACTACTATTACCTTGGGCAATCAATCAGTAAGCATTGATTATGTATCTACCATGAGTTAGGTACTATGGCAAGTGTCATGGAATACAAAAATCATTTAACCTATCTGGTCATCAGTTTCTTCATAAGGAAAACAAAGAGGTTGAACTAGATGACCTCTAAGGTGCCTTCTGGTCCTAAATTTACATTCCCTACAGCACAGAAAAAGTAACCAACAAGGTCTTATGAAAGCTCATATTTTATATACAGAAGTTTGAAATTTCAAATTTAAATAGTTATAATTTATTTTATTTCATTTCCATCAGCTGCTTGGTTTCAACTCCAGGAACACCATGATTCTTCTCCCAGGATAAGTTTATCACCTGAAATCTCACCATCATGGAGAATGATCAAGCCTACACACTCAACACCTTCACAGCACCCTCAGCTGCCTCTCCCCTCTAACTGGAGGTCTAGAGGCCAGAGCAATAAACTCTTCTCAAAGCCTTCCTCTACAGGGGTTCAGAAATTTTCCGGGCAGCTAGGTGGGGCACCGATAAGAGCACTGGGCTTGGAATCAGGAAGACTCATCTTGATGAGTTGTTCAAATCCAGCCTCAGACAGTTCCTAGCTGTATGATACTGGGTAAGTCACTTAACCTTGTTTGCCTCAGTTTCCTCATTTGTAAAATGAGCTGGAGAAGGAAATAGCAAATCACTCTAATATCTTTGCCAAGAAACCCCAAATGGGGTCATAAAGAGTTGGACACAACTGAATAACAACAACAATAGAATTTTTCAGCTAATCATTTTCCATCAGGAATTCTGCTTGGTTTCATCTCCAAGAACATCAACTCCCAGCCTCCCCTTCCTTTTTCAGCTTTCTTTTGTGCATTATCTTCCCCTATTATACTGTAAGCTCCTAGAGAGCAAGGACTACCTTTCTTTTTCTCATTTGTATCCAAAGGCTTGATAATTGTCTACTTATTATTGATTAATTTGTTTTGTTACTACAATAATACATTATTGAAGGGAAAAAAAATCAGTGAATGCCATGTATTACAGGGTAAAAGTTCAATAGTATGCATATTTACATGCCTTATAACTTCAGATTTTACAAAAAAAAAGTATAAGTTCCAGAAAAAAAACTGGAAATTGTCTTCAAATTCAATACTGAAATAATACGTTATACATTAAAAAAACCCACATGTTAAGAGGAAAATAGTACCACTAAGTATCACAAAGCAGAGATTCTAGGTTAAAACCTAGGTTTTGTTATGCTCAAGCACAGGTTCAGGGTTCAGAAAATAACTGAGCACTGAATAGGTTTCAGATTAAGCAGTAAAACAGAATCATAATTGTATATATCCTCTAAGGAAACAGGCCCATCCAAACAGACTTAGTTACATATTTAAAGTTAAGTTTTCAAGGTTCAGAGGTGACCTTGGGATAATACAAAATAGAGATTTAAATCCCACAAAGATAACCAAAGAATCAGAGCTACCTGGGATCCTTACACAAATAAAGAAAATTAAATTACTTTGGGAAGTCCTAACTCCCTTTTGGCTTCTTATCTGAGGAATATTTGAAGACTTAAGTAAAGTTTTAACATCCATGGGGTAGGTTTCTGCTAGCGATATTTTATAGATGTGTATATATATAAATATATGAGAGATTGTGTCTAAAGCTAATACTAATTGCCTTTCTTTCACCTAGAATTAGATTTCATAATTCAGAAAGGATGCTCAAACTCTGCATACTGTTTTCTTCCCAACAATAACAAAAACTGTTCCGACCGAACGGTCCATGTAGCATATGCTTTCACAATAAGAATGAGGAAAGTGACAGTCGTATCCCAATTGTGAAATGCTTTATTCCATTCACAAATTTTCAAACTATGTCATACACACTGTTATAGCAAAAAGTTGTTTTTTAAGCCCCAAGTTTTATATTTTTCTTCTCTTTTCATTGATAATAAGACTATAAGTACTTCCTTATACCAAAAATCTATATGTCAAAGAGACTGGGGTCAGTGATAAAAGGCGGTATTTCATACATGAGAGCATCTCAGAGATCAAGCAAACCATTGTCATTTCAGAATATGTCTAACGACTATATCTAATTTCATAAAATATCTAATTATTTTGATAAATTGACTGATGTAGTTAGCTGTCAAAGGATAAGGAAGAAAGATCAAAGCTACTGTAGTAAGGAAGGTGGGAAAGGATATATGGGACAAAATATCTCTCAAGTTGGAATCTTAACTGAAAGGTTCCTCTCTTCCCTAAAAATTATTATTTCAAAAGTTACTTTCCCAAGGCTGGTCTGATATTTCTCTGTAATTAATGCCAGAAGACAAGAGTAGGCTCAGAGTGCTGAGTTAAATATGGGTACACTGGACATTTTAATATATCCACATAAATTAGACTTTAGTCTTCCTCCACTCCACATTCCATATCATATTAAGGAACTATTTACAAACACTTGGCCTTATTAGTGGTACATGGTGTAATCTCTTCAGACTAAAGACTGCTTTGTGGGTAAATCTACGGGTCCGTTGTGCCAAATAATTTTTCTAAGTACCTGAAAGTATATAGTAGTAAATCCTTACATCAAACTATAGACTTCAATTCAGAACCTTGGTAAAAAACCCAAATTCCATATTAGTACTCATCTCTTCCCAGGTAGAGTCTGTACTATCTATTTATCATTTAAAAAGCACCAAAAGACACCACAGCTTTTCTGAAGGTAAGTTACCTGAAGAAGAAGGTAGCTTCCTTTTTATAAAGCTTGGATTTCTTGAGTTAATATTTCTCCCATTTCTGTAAAAGATACAAATCATCTGAAAACTTCATGTAACTTCCTGTTTCTGTTTTGAAACCTCTCTATTTAATCACATTAGAGAGTTGATGTCTTCTAATACATGCCCTAAGCAACTAAAAAAAATTGGAAACTACTTCCAATATACTCCCTTTCCAAAAGGCAATCTGGTGCCCACTAGTCCACACACATGCAATGATATCCAGACAGAAGAATCTATCACATCCTGATATTCCTGATTCCCTTCTGAAAAATTTAGCTCTAAGTAAAACTCTTGCTTTAGAACCAGGACAAAAGGTATTAAGAGTAAATATGAGAGGTGCAGCTAGGTGGCACAGTGGATAGAGCTTGGGACCTTGGAGTCAGGAGGACCCGAGTTCAAATCCGACCTCAAACACTAGACACTTACTAGCTGTGTGATCCTGGGCAAGTCACTTAACCCAGACTGCCTCATTAAAAAGCAAAAAAAAAAAAGTAAACATGAGTAAACAGCAGATGCCCATCATATATAGTGTTAATTTATATTAACTATAGCCCTAGGATGGAAGGGGAACAAATCCCATGACAATACAGTAAAGCTAAGGCAGGAATCCAAATTTTCCAATGGGGGTTGGGGAACACAGAGCATGTAATTAATTTCAATTGAGGTTTTCAATAAAATAAAAACTGAAAATTTAAAGTGCAAGTCACTTTAACCAGCGGTCAACATTACAGAGCAAAACCTGGGTCTTCTAGTTACGCAGGCCTGGGTGTGTATGATCTTCATGTCTGATAAATGCCTTTGTATGCCCCTGTGTAAAAATAGGATCACAAGCATCCCAAAATTCAGTCAAGGCTGATGCAAAGAGTTACTTGAGCTAAACCAAACACAGAAACTTGGAAATATTTAATCCTGGTCCCTTCTACCAATCACTCATTGGCAAACCTTGGACAAGACATACCTCAGTTGACCTAGGTTGTTGCTTCCTGAAAAATTTAGGATTGGGGTGGAGATGGAGGGTGGAGATGGAGGTAAATCTATGTTCTTACAGTCATAATTACTGTTTCTATTGGCCTCATAGCTTAAAGGATTAAAATGGGAAGTAAAACACTGAATTAGCCCTTGCAAAATTCAAACCCAGCAACTAGATTAGGCTCATGTACCTCCCACCTTCCTTAAATCTCCTTCACAATATAATAAAGCTCATGAATGCTACTTCTGGTATAGAGAAGCTAAGTATAATAACAAATATTCTATGCTAGAATTAATTACAGCTTGTACATCCTTTAGTAAAGAGAAGTATATTTTTAAAAAGTCAGCCATGAGGTGAGGCAGAGATTGGGGTTGGGAAAAAGGAGAAGGGAAAAAAAGTAGAGGATCTAATTGCTCTGGTTAAGAAGCCTTTCACTATGGGATCATTAAGCAACTGCTGACTGCCAATCCTTCACATAGGGAAAAGCAGCAAGGAATAGTAGGAAGAATGCTGAACTTAATAGGGCACACACAGGTTCAAGCCTCACCTCTGACACAAATTCTGGACCATGGGCAAGTTATGTCACTTCTCTGGGAGTCAATTTCCTCTGCACCTCAGTCTTTAAAGGATGATAATAATAATAATCCTT